GAAAAAAGGTAAATTTACACTTTTAGAGAAGTCTTCAATTTAACTTTTGAAAGAGCTTACACAGAAAACCCCATACCTTTCACAGTGAGAAAGCAAAATATGGTGTGAATTATACACTACCTAGTTGGAAGATGAAAAAATAAAGTTAAGCTTTTCACAATTTAAAAGAACTACAATAGTGTTTAAGTTAGATTTAAACACTACATTCCACAATTTTGGATTTCTCATGCCAAGTCAAATACATTAGGGAAGATTCTATCCAAAGCCTGCCAAACTCACAGCAAATTCCATACAATGTTAAAAGCCCAAAGTCTCAATCCTTTACATATTTATGTGACAAAAGTTCGATGGCCATGAAAAGACCATTCATACACAGTTAATCCTCTGTAAAATATTAGAATATTAACTTTGAACCAGAAGAACATACTTTCTCCATAGAATGAACAACATTTATTCCCTTGCTGCAATGTCACTTAATTCACATCTGGAATCTGTTAATCCAGTAACAACAATTGTCGTGGTTTAAGCCCAGCCGGTAACCCAGACCCACGCAGCCGCTTGCTCACTCCTCCCCTTTTTCCTCCCCCCACTCCCAGAAGGATGGGGAGGAGAATCGGAGGAATGTAACTCCCATGGGTGGAGATAACAGCTCTCCAGTAACTAAGGTATAATACAAACCACTACTGCTACCAATAATAATGACAAGAGGAATAACAAGGGAAAAGGACACAACCGCTCACCACCCGCCGACCGATACCCAGCCCGACCCGAGCAGCGATCTGGGCCTTCTGGGTGACTCTCCCCAGTTTCTATACTGGGCATGACGTGCTGTGGTATGGAATAGCCCTTTGGCCAGTTTGGGTCAAGTGTCCTGCCTCTGCTTCCTCCCGGCTTCCCATGTCCCTCCTCCCTGGCAGAGCATGAGACTGAGAAAGTCCTTGGTCGGAGCAAACATTACTGAGCAACAACTAAAAACATCGGTGTTATCAGCGTTGTTCCCAGGCTGAAAGTCAAAAACACAGCACTGCAACAGCTACTGAGAAGGAGAAAAATGACTGCGATAGCTGAACCCAGGACAACAATGCAGAGTTAACTCCTTAGGATTTCATTTAAGTTCATTTTCCTAAGCAAGCTAGAAGAAGGTTACAACACATGCTGCTTTACTAAGTTTCATCAAAATTCCCACCCTGAGCTGTAACAATTTTGTTTGCTTAAATGAAAAGCTGCATAATCTAATCACGTTGTTTACTTAACCACTGCACAGCATACAAGAATAAAGTAAACCTCTTTGCTGCATCCCGTGTTTGACCAGCATCACAAATTAGCAGTACAAGGCTGCCCTGACAGAATCCCACACAAACATGCTGAAGGGAAGAAAATCTCGATGTTTTCTTTACAGCTGTTTTCAAAGTTACACATTTTCCTCAGAGCTTCTTTGCAGCCGGATGCAGTATGTAACACTGTTGTACTGGTTACATGCCATAAAAACAAATGTGTTTGCGCCCTGGAGAAGCTAGGCTATTTATTTAAAGAGGGTTACTGTTCTCGAATAGATCAAGAAGGGTGGGAGGAGAATAATAGAAATCCCCCAAACCCTCATTTTGAGCTGTATAAATACATGCCTGTAAAATAATTATCTAATCAAATTTTTAAAATATGCCTTTATTCTCTCCCCATAGTTTCTCCAGTAAAATTAACTGTCTTCAGTTATTTAGTTATTTCTTCTTCCTTACCCATATTTATTCTTCATTTCATGGAAGAATAAATAATGGTATCATAACAAAGCTGCTTTACTTCTTACCTAACAAACTGGAAGCTTGTTAGAAAAAAAAATAAATTATTTTAGCTATGCCTTTGAGAAGAACACGACCTAGAAGTACTATTTAGTTTTGATTCAAAAGACCAGCTTATGACCATCACAGCCACTTGTTTTGTCAGGGTTTTATTATCACTTACTACTACAACTTAGTTAAGCAACAAGCTTATTGTTGTGTCTCCTGCTCCCCTTATGTGGGAGGGAGCAGAAGAGACAACAAGCAGAATAATTGGGTTATGATGCCTCTGAAACTGTGTGACATGGATGACTGCTAACGTTTGCTGTGCATTAGCGAGGCAAGAGCTCTAATGAAACAGCAAGGTCTGTACTGTTCTTGAGCAAACACACACAAAACCACCAAGACAAAAACTGGCCTGGACCACACCAAAAAAGCCTACTGAACTAAAACGTAAAGACACTTGAAATATTGTGAAGAATAGAATCATAGAATCATTTCAATCAGCTAGCTACCAACACATGAAAACTCAAAAAAATGTGACTCCCTGGTCAAATAACACTGACTCATTGTAGACTGCTACAGTTTAGTCAAATCCCTGGTTAGTGACAAGCGGATCAAGCATCAATTAATGCTTTCAAATTTCTCCAGCAGTCTCATGCATGAGCCAATCGAGTTCAAAACCTTTGTCCCAGTTTTGGCACAGATACGGGATGGTTTGAGGCCTTAAAACAGGCAATAGAATCTTCAGGAGGGACGACAACACTGAGGACCACCAGGATGGCAGATTCATCTGAAATTCGTCTCCTAGTATGAGTGAACCATAATAAGAATATTTCTGTTATCAGTCAATTTCACATCAATTTAAATGGCCCAACCCTGTAACTCAGACAAGCAATCCCATTAAACTGTAAAAAACCTGAGAACTATTGCTTAGAGCATCAAGCATATGAAACCATCATGCTGTACTCAACAGCAAAACAGAGAAAGAGTAGACAAGAAAAAAGTAAATACTGTATTTCAACAAGTAAGCCACAGCAAACAATGTAAATACTGCAAAGATATGAAGAAAGGAGAACAAAGAACAGTAGAATACTACCTACTGTGTTGTCTTGGTCAATGGCCAAAACTCAAGGCATATGCCTCTCAAATATGTCTATTAAAAAACCTGTGCAAAGCATTTAGTAGTTTACCAAGCTTTTCAGCATTTCTTCATACCATATCATATGAACTATAACTTGCTTCCTGGAAATCATGATGCACCATATAGTTTTATATAGACCATACCATTATTTTGTATATAATGTAATTTATTATAGTGTCCCAAAAAGGCATCACAATAGGTTTTATCAAAGATGAAATAAAATACTAAGAGTGATCAAGCATTAAAAACCATGCTAGCTGATGTTTTGACTGTTGGTTTGTTATTGTTTCTGTGTTTTTCTATGAAGGTTAAAATGGTGTCAGTAATATTTGATACAAAAGGGTGAAACTAACTGAGCCGTATTTGAGCACCCTTTTGTTTGCAGTAACTTGTAAACCCAAGAGGTTAGAGGGAATTGGATGATGTTTTGACAAGCGTATGATTACAACTCAGCTGCACTATAAAGGACAGCGGATATAGAGATAAAATTGTGTGTCAGGGCACAAACCAACTACTAATTTGTGCATACATTGTTATATATACATGTATGTATCTGTATGTACACAAATATATTTTATACTGTAACTGTAAAGTATCTTTTTCTGAAAAAGCTTCAGTGGAGAAAGTATACCACTTATTTTTACCCAGAAATTAAGTTCCATGCTGAATTTGTTAGACAATGAAAACGTTTTTTGTGGCAATTGCCTTACCATTACTATTCAGTGTCTTCATAATAACTTCCATTTGTGCAAACTCATAGTTGTAGTCTGGTTCTGAAGAAGCTTCACTAGCTGCATCCAGATCATGCTCTCCTAATGATGTTTCTTTCTCAGGGTCTTTCAGCCAATCTCGTCGTTTCCTTTTTGGTAAATTGATTCTGTGTAAAAATTGAAATTCAGTTTTTAAAAAGGTTTTTGCAGAACAGTGGAAGTAAAAGAAAAAAAACAACACAAAACCAGGCTGAAAGTAAAGAGGCTGGAATATAAATATCAACTATTACCTAAAAAAGTGGTTGTTTCCCCATAGTATTCTATCTCCATGCCATAACTGAGTGACAGAACATACCAGTGCACCATTTACACAGGATCTGAAAGAGAAAAAAAACACAATTTCAGTGAAATCCTAAAAATAGAAGGTTGAAAATTAACCACAAGATCTACTGTTTCTCCCATCTACAGATAGTGATTTGTATCACATGATGCACAAATCTGCCAGATTCTCATTAAAGAATCAACACGGATGATGCTGTCCTGATTTCTACTGTCAGAACTAAGCACAAAGCACCTTTCCCCTCTAGCTTTGGCTGGTACAACTCTTCAGTAAACACACAGACAGGGTTGCTTAATTACACGGTTTTCTTTAAATGCCCATGTCTCAAAGTGGGTCACTGCCTGTTTCTTGTAAAACCTGTAAACTTGGATGCATGCAAATCCTGCTGATAAAGCTTCCCAAGACACAAGTTAGTCAACAGAGAGCTGTAAAACATACTGTTAACATACTCGGCATCCAAGCATAAGAAAAGACCCTTAGATCCAAGTTTCATTCTTTCAACAAATGGAGTCTATTATTAACAAGGGTCTATTTTTGTGAACATCTGGTATACTGCTATATTTGCATTTAGGTGTCTAATATTTAAGTTTCAATCACAAAACAGGAAAAATGGAGCTGTTGAACTTTTTCACATGCAAGTCACAAAGCAGAACATTATATTTGAAAGGTAAAAAAAAAAGTAAAATGAAAAAAGCCTTTTCAGATGGAGCATTCCGAATTCAGCTGTCTCTCTCAAGTAAGTCAACACAAATGTGAGCATTTGCCTTAAAGACAGATTTTTTTTTTAATTTTTTTTTTTTTTTACAATGAAATCCTGGTAACTAAATTCCTGTTGACACTAGGATCTTAAGAACAGCTACTTAAGCAATGCAGATCAGGCACAAGTAAACCAAAATACGTTTTTTTCCACTGACATGTGCCTTTGTTCTTGCCAGTCAACATGACTGATTTCCAGTACAGTAACTCTATCACCACAAGTCTGAATCCCATCTGTTTGGAATTTTGTACTGTAGGCTGCAGAACTAAAATGCAAACACTAAGAGGTATTTTACTGAAGGTAGAGCAAAAGAGATCAGATTTTTAAAAAGATGTCTCTCAAACCTTTGTTTCTCATTCAAATACGTATCTATACTCTAATTAGATATTCAAGATTTCAAATAAGCAGTATGACCATTAAATAGAACAAAGGTATTGCTTATCACATGCCATTGGAGATGAACTGACAGACATTTACAATTCCACCCAAGAAGCCACAGTGCCCCCAAAATGAAAAATTAAAATACGGAAGTAGAAACAAAAGGAGAAATGTGACTTCACACTGAATATTTATGAGGCACAACAGTAATTAAAAGATTTAGAAAATAAAGATTTTCAGATCTTCAAAACACCTCTTTCTCACAAAATGCTGGGCTTTATAACAGAAACTACTCATGAGGCACAATTTATCCTCTCCCATCAAGACACAGCTCACTATCTCATCACACAGGCCAGGGTAGCCAGCAGCATCTCAGTGATCTCATTGCCACCCAAGATACAGACAAGCAATGGTCCCTCATTCTTACTGGATACTTTCTTATGATGGTTTATTCTGACCCAAACCACTGATAGCCTGTTATGCTACAAAGTAGGTGGGTGGGTGTGTACACATGTGGGGAAATCTCAGTTTTATTACTCAGTTTCACTTCTGAGTATCTAAGTCACCTATGCTGAAGCTACTTATTGATGAGAACACAAGATGCTTCTGACTATGTAAAGTAAAAATGTATGCAAGTTATCTTCTAGTAAAGACAAGCAAACACCTCACTGCAAAGTGCTGATCTTCCTTACCTTGCATTTTCTTTTGGTGTGAGTGTAACTTCTCCATCTAAAGCAACATCAATCTCACAGTGTTCTGGTTGGATTCCTATACCAAAGAGCTGTATATCCTGAGAGGTATCTGCACCAACTCTTGTGTGATCCTAGAAAATAAGCTGTTACTAAGAGACAAGTAAACTATCACTGTTTATATAACAAAGAAAATATTAGCTAAAGCACTGAGACTACACAATTTACACGCTCTCCTTTGATAAGCACTTCTGTAGAATAGAAATGGTGCCACAGCAGATTTGAAGATTGTAAAGGTCACACAGAAAACCGTTCTTCTGCTCTGCACTTTATTTTCATATGTTTTTAAACATATCAGACTAAAGCAGTTGACACACAAATTCCTATTTAAACATATTCTCAAACTTTGCTTCCATATAAGCAATAAATGCAAACAGGGAAGAAAATGAACCATATCATATAGGCATATATGAGGACAACATGGATAGTAAAATATGGTGCACAGAGCTAGCTGCTTTTCAGAAAATAGCTAACAGCAACTCAACTAAACATACTAATCTCTACATAATTTCAAGTCATATTGTAAATTCTACTGAAATACTGGACTTTGCTGCTGTTGGAGAAGTTGTGATTTGCTACCGTTCAAATACAGAACCCTATCTTGGCAGAAGAGTAATTATAAAAATAGATAGGATAGTCTTTCATATCTTACTCACAAGGAGCTCACATCTTCTTAATAACTCACTAGGCTTGTATTTGGCACTCGGACATGAAACTTCACTAAACAGAATGGTATGAAGGCTAGGGGCACTAGGAAAATACATTTCTGTAAATTTTTACAAGTGCTTTTTTCCCCTCTTAAGCTTTTCTGACATGGAAAATTATGTTTACTCTTACTGATTATTACTAAACATCATCTCTTTATGATTAACTCATTAAGTATTTAAAGCAATACTCAGTTCACTAACAAAAGGAAGCATCTAACATGAGGCTCTCCAAGTTCAGCCCAAACGGCGATTCCACTCGCATATTGCCTGGAAAAGCTAGAATTTATCTCAACACTAGCACACATTGAGTGCATGTCCCATTGCTGGCAATCAGGAAATCAATTAGGAAAACAACAAAGCTGGGAAACCCATCCTATTTTGCTGCAACTAGTCTTAAAAATCTATATTTACCCTGAGTAACAAATTAAGCCAGAAATGCGAAACAAAAAACAAGTGTCCTTTCATTCTGCACAAACATCCTGTTCACATTCTTACCTTTAAGTAGTAAACCAAAAGCTCATTGAGCGCAGGGTCCGCATTCAGATTCACCAGGTAACACTTGTCATCCCCAACCTTGATACCAGAAGACTCAAGGGAAATTCCCATGCTCTCTAACTGTCTTTGCCTCTCCTGCAAGCACAAAAATAGGTTAATCTTGCCTGCTACAATACACAGAGACAAGTACAGCAAGTAAATGAAAGCAGACCAACTAAAGCTGAAGGTGCACATGCTGAGCACATACTCAGTACGTCACTACCAGAAACAGAACTTAAGACATTGGTCAAGTACCATAAGTTGAATAGAGTTTATTTTTACACATCAACAATAAAAAGTTAGATCTAATCCTCAAACATCTGCTTCCCCAAATTGAAACTTACTTACCTGAGCAGCCCTATTGATTTTATTATAGCTACTCATAAGTAACACAATGTGGCTTTGAAACTCTATGTTAATTAAAAACTAGCCTCAGTTGCAATTACTTCAAAGATAATCATAGTCACAGATCATTTAGAATATAGCATGCCCCAATTTAGGTTTATTCATTTGCAGTATTTTTATTAATCCAGCTAAAGAATCTACTTGCTCACACATCTTTTGCTTTGCTGCAGTGTGGGGATTGGGGTTTTTTGTTTGTCTGGTTGGGTTTGGTTCCACCCCCACCCCCACATCTTTTTTTCTTCTCTTTTTTCTTTTATTTTTATTTAAACAGTGGTTGCACCAGATGTTGCTTCTGGAATATTAGGACTAGAAAAGGAAACCAACAATACTTTTCTCCAAGCTGTAAGTGGTGGAAATTAAGTAAAAGTACACTGGAATCTGGAAGTCTTATTTTAAGTACAATAATAATAAACAATCTCTAGTGAATACACGTAAACATTTTCCTTCTCTGGTTAAGAAGTCACTAAAAGGAAGAGCAACAAAGAGCCACAGATACCACCCAAAATTCTGATCCTTTTGTAATTCTTCATTTGCCTAGTCACTTCAAGGGAAACATGTCTAAGACCCCACTGTGGCCTTACAAACAAATGAGCTGCTCAAACATATTTTGGTGTTTCATTTTAAAAGCAAGTATTAGTTTTTATCAATGATATCATGGCACAGCTACGCTTATTCTAATAAAATTTCATCTAAAAAAAAAAAAAAAAAAAAAAATTAAAAAAAAAAAAAAAAAAAAAAAAAAAAAGCACCAACCAAAAGAACCCAAAACCCATCCCACAAAACAAAAGCAAACAAAAAACCTCCCCACAAAACCCAAACAACAACAAAACCCACAAAAACCAACCCCAAACAAAAAAGCAAGGGAAAAGACAAAGATCCAGAGGAATTTTCAGTAGCTGGTGGGAAAGACAGCACAGTCCACTAAAGCTCATGAAATTCAGTGACTTGCACTATATGAGTATGTGGCCTTTCCTCCTCATAGTTTCTGAAATACCTGTGCAATTTCTTCTGTCTTCCTTAGTTTTTCTTCCCAGGTGACTGTTAGTTCTTTTATTAGTTTTTCAGATTCTTCCAATTTCTCCTTCAATTCTGGTGCCTTCATGGCCTAAAAGACAGAAATTAAAATCCTCAGCTACTCTACCACTGCAACATCTGCTTCCACAAGGAAACAGAACACAGCAACATAATGTGAAATGCGGCCAGTATAGATTTCAACTCTATCCCCAGGTTTTTCATAGCAGATGAAGAAGAAACAGGTCACTTGCGAAGGAAAAGGATGGAATCAACCTATAATGGGTACAAATCTGAAACAGCTGAAAATTGACAGCTCCAAAGGCTAATGGAACCAACAAAATCTCTGGGCCTGGCCACTCAAGCTTCAGTGTCTGTAGAAAAATATCTGAGTATTCAAAAACTTTAAGTTTCAGCTCTCTGGAGTTCAATTGTAAAGTCTTTCTTCCAACAGTAGTTTCAAACACAAATTCCTCTTGATATTTAGCCTTCCATTCTATCTTTGTTTCACGAGTGTTCCTAGAGTTGCATTAAAGCTTTCAGACTGACCCCAGATGACCTTTGAAGGAAGGCATGCTCTGGAGGTAACACAGGCCTCTCATTTCACAATAGGAAACAAAATCAAAGGGCTTGAACGCATCCAGGCTGGCTGGCTCTACACAACTGTTTTTAACAGAAGATGTAAGAGAAAAACCTTTAAAAAAAAACAGGTAAGAATTTGGACACTTTCCTAGTGACTGTGTTCAGCCACAGTCTGCCAACATAATTAATAACATGCTACAATAATATTTTCCAATTTAAAATATGGGATTAGAACAGATTTTTATTTAAGAAGAAAGTGAATGGGTCCTTTTTCTTAAAGCCTATTTTCCCATTTCAGCCTGTAAGGAATTGTTCATACAAGAAACACTAAATGAACATAAAGTTTAAACACCACACATTTACCCCCAGATACACTTCTGTTCTTTTTCCACAGTATTTTGCGTCTTGCCTGAAAATATCAAAAATATTTTCCCAGTGCAATGCTTGATTTCCCCAGATATCACCAAGTAAGCTATCCTACTCTGATACTTTACTGTCCCATTACAAGTATAAACCTAAGATAAGCCACAATCACTCAGTGTTATTTGTTAAGGCAGAAAAGCAAATTGCTGATGGTTTCAGTGCTGCGATTTTCACTATTTTTTAATAGATTTTTACAAATGTCAAGAAGTGTCCTAGGTATTTTGTGGTCCAGTACCAGATTTACAGATTTTCGTTTTTCCATTTGACATCATAAAATTACATAATCCACCAACGCAAAAAAAAGTTTGCTAGTAAGTCTACATAATGAAGTTGTACTCTAGTTCTTACCTGTGCTGCATCAAATGTTGCTTGACACGAAGGTCTTCAAGAACAGACTATTCTGACAAGGGTCACCATCAGTACAACACTGTCCTCATTTAAAAGCAATTAAAACTAAGAAAACATTTTGTTGGGTTTATTTCAGGAAACAAAGTTAATTGTTTAAAAGAAACAAACCCACAGAAAAACCCTGAAGTGCAAGACTCTTCCTCTCCTCATTTTGTAAGACTTAAACAGAAAGCTAGTCTTCCAGCCAGATTTTGACATTTCCTTGGGAAACTCAGTTTTCATTGTACTGTGAATAATGTTACCTCAGCTTGTGAGAGCTGTTCTTTCAGTTTTTCAACTTCTTCACGTAGTTCTCTGATGACCCTAGCATTTGGATCTTCATTCACCACAGCGTGATTAACTATTCTTTTGGCTCTATCTGCATATCTCAGAGTAGAGAGTGTTTCTTCATAGTTGTCTGCTGCTGGACTAATTGTGGCTATCATGGCAGTTTGGCTGTTTCCTCCCAAATTGTCCTGTACAGTACATCCACAGAAAGTTTGAGAGTTAAAAATTGTTCTGAGACTATACAAAGTCTTTACAAGGATACTTAAAATACAAAGCTTAATATTTAGACACTGAAAAGTACTCTGGATATAAACTAACTAGTATGATCCATAAACATTTCCAGCCACCTCCACCATCTTCGATTCCATCACAACTGAAAACAGCCAAATAAGACTTCATATAGAATTCACACACGATCCAATTACGTTTGTATTACTCGGAATAACTTACAGGTAAGAGATCTTTGTAGCTCCTTTCTGTAAAAAAGATGAAAAATCCACATACACAAAGGTATGCTACAATGATCCTACAAACTATTAAGCTGACATCTTGTGAACAGACATAATGGAAAATATTAATTACCTTGAGAAGCCAAGTGAGTACAGAGTCTCTGTAAGGCACAAACTTGTTTTTCCCCTTTCCTGCTGCTTGGTCAGCAAGTGATGATATAACCAAGCCCAGTGTTGAAAGTGATCTATAAATGTAACACAGTAGAACAGCTTTAACACATATTCCAAATGTAGATCTAATAAAACACAGAAAAAGGTATTCACTAAATATTTTAATTTGTGCTTTGCAGAACCACACATCCAATTTTTAAACTATCATAGCATAATTTAAGTCAGAAATGACCACAGGAGATCAGCTAACCCATTGCTGAATACAGAGCAATGTATTTATTAAAGTCACACATTTGGAAGAAAAAATTATATCTGCAGTGTTTCATCTCATCTGGTACTAAGTCCAAGTTTTAACTATTCAGGTATTTAAAATAGTTTGGGAAGTGTAAAGCAGACTGCTTCACTACATGGAGAGTAATTGTCTTTGATTAGACATCTACTTTTTGTCAGAGACTAAAAATCTTTCTACCCTGGACACTGCCTTGTGACTCTCTTACAAGTCAGTGCTGGCAGCACAGCACAAGTCCCCCTTCCCTAGGAACCATGTTTTAAGAGCATTCCCTAGGAACCATGTTTTAAGAGCACTGGTTCAACAATAGACTAAAACTGAACAATTCTCTAGCTACAAGGAAGCATCCTCAAGACAAAGCCAGCTATGGCCAGGAGAACTAGTCTACCTGGTGAACCTGTAACTGATCAGACATCACGCAATAATGGAAGACTGCTCATCGGATAGGAGGTCCCTTGATAAATAGCTTCTTCTAATTGTGGTGGAGCCTCACTAGCTTCTTGTAGGGGAATAGATCAAACAATCTCCTAGGTACAAAAAAGCTGCACATGCATGAAAGAAAAAAGCCCCAGAATTGTTTAGCAGACAGCCACATCCCAAACATCACTCGAGTCATGAAGAAAATAGAGATAACTCATTGCTTTGGTACATGTACCACTTCTACCAACTGTAGAACTGTAACTGTATTAGCAATCTGTGCAAAATCTGTGCAAAGCATATGTGCATTATATAATCCAATTGTTATACAACCCTGTGTAAATACTAAATGACATCAGGGCTCTTGGGGTGAGTATGTTTAAGATAATAAGCTAGTTCAGGAGCCTGAGAACATTAAACAGATGCCTCAAGGGTTTTAAAACAGACAGCGCTGAAGCCCAAGAGCATACTGTTCTGTCATGCTCATGCCCATATACCCAGCTACTCTCTGTAACTACCAGGGAAAACTTCAGCACCATCACAATTAGACAGTCAAATACATCTTTAATTTTACTGTTCCACTCCATCCTTTTGAGTTTTCTTTCCAAAGCAGCAGCACTATTTTAGTTGATAGGCAGTGTTTGCACAGTATCTGTGCAGCTTGAAACTACCAGTGGTTCAGAAATGACATCTCAAAAATGACAAAAATGTTGCAGAAGAGTACTTCAAGGAAGATATCGGAGGGTAAGGTAACAAGAACTATCACGTGTCACAAAAGATGTCCCATATTGCATATGGCATAAAGATAGCATAGACCTGAAAGCAAAATTGAAAAAGAAATTTAGGGAGGGGCTATGCAATCTGGTCTCCCAGAAAGTACTCTATTTTGTAAATTCATCTATAGGACAACTTTCCAATTCACCTTTCAGAAATTCATAGCAAAAAGGACAGTTAGTTTTAGTTTGTGACCTAAACAAAAGCCTAACAACCTCTGAAAGTTTGTGGAGGGAGGATGGAGGAGAGAAAATTGGTTCTTGCCTCCAGCCTCCACAGACAGAGATGACAGCGTGCTAAACATGAGAGAGCAAACTGAAGGATGCTCTGTGCTGCTCCATAGCAACCTCCTCCTACAGCACAACTGCAAAGTACCACCAGCACACTCCCAATGGAGTCTATCTTCAAGGAGCATAATGTTAAAAAACCACCCTAGCCTATTTTCCTCAGATTCCTCTTTCAGAAACGTGAAAACCAAAGCCAAAAACAGACGGAGAGGGACAGAAAGGACAGTCAGAAGGAAGATAGGAAGAACAGGGATTCAAAAATGCCTGTCCCTGAAAACTATTTCACAACAGGGCTGCAACACTAATTTGAGTGGGCACTGCATTTTAATAAACAGGAAATTATAAGCTACAGTTTATTAACACACAATTAAAAGATGTGATAATGTTTCTGCTCCATACAAATAATGATTTTATTTTACGACTGTTAACATCTGCAATAAAAACCAAACTGGAGTCATTTATGTATTCTGCTTGAGATTTCATAATACAAAGCTGTTTAAAGACTTAAAGGAAAGCAGTAAAAGAAATGGCTGCCCAACAAAATAATTACAGGACTCATCGGCTGCTTTGCTTCATGCTAAATGATGCAGAGATCCGTCATTACTCTGATCCTATCTCTCACTACTTATATAATGAATCAACTGGAAGGCCTAAAAGCTCACAGTGTAGACTGAGGCAGTTCAGAAGTAGCACAGTGAACTTATGTAGTGCAAGAGCATGGGAAAGTGCCATTTCTGCACACTTTCAGTTCTTCTTGTCCCTGTTCCTCAGGCATGACCAGGCTGCCCTTGCTAGCAGGTGGTGGGGAGTTTGCACACTCCCACCAGCAGCCCGAGTCAGCCGTGTTCAAAGTGAAGTGGTGCTTCCTCTCTGCAGGGAACAATTTTGTCTCTGACACCCATTCAGGCCACTTCTGTACAATTTACCAAACTCTCCAATGAGCAGAATCCACCTTACTGTTAGTTAACTCTGAATACAGAAAAAAACCTCCCTAAAATGAGATTGGAGCCAGACCTGTCTCAACGCATTCCTTCCTCCGCCTACATTTTAAAGGCTTCTTTTTGCATTCTCAAGTTAAAAAGACAACCGCTATGATTTTACTAATCAGAGTTAAAATTGCAGACTGCTCACAGAAAGTATTTTTCTTAGCCACTAATTGTCAGTTTGTTTATTCTGCTTCCTCCTACTATTGTATTCTAGATTTTCTTTGACTTCACCACAAAGAGTTGTTAAGCGCCTGTGTTTCTACACTCTGTATGGGAACTAGCACATCCTGGGGAGGAACAAGCACATACAGCTTTCCTATGAGGTATGGCAAGGCCCCCAGAACCCTCAAAAATAAAGAGCAGATGCCCAGTACCTTCACTAAGGTAACTCTTCATCAGGTCTAAATAAAAACAGAAGTAATCTTTATTACAACTTCATGAAGGTTTTAGTAAAATGACACAACTCTCCATTGTTTCAGAAAGCGGGAGTACAATCCATTGCATCCCCTCTGCAACATGCTGTTCCAAGATAGGTAAGAGGACTATCTGTGGGACCACGGTGGCAGCTACCAGGGCCCTAGCAAGGTTTCATCAGAAACAAACAGCACAGATGCCTGCAGAGACTGACGGAAAGTCACACGACACAGTTTTGGTGTGCACAACTGAGTGCACTTGTTCCCTACCTTGTAAGTACAGAAAGAGGTACATTACTTCCACATTTTTCTTCAAGGCAATAAAACATAGCACAGGCAAATTTATTTGCCAGGTAATATCAGCAGCTCCATTTTTAACTCACTAAACATAACACATGCTACCAATACATCTTACTGCTTTTTTATAAAAGAGTAAAAAGTAATAAAAAAAGGAGCTGGCATGGTAAAGTATATGGTTTAAGTATACTGTATCACTCCAGAAAATATTGCCTTTCCCTAATAATATGCATCACACCCAAGAGAACATCATATACAATGCTCTTTGAAGAACTAGTCTGATAAAACATGTATACCAATTTTGAGGCTTCCAGGGAAAGTCAGACTTTATTAAAGCTCCTAGTAACAGCAAAAAAATCTAACAGAAGACACCAAGCACAGGATTAAGAATTGTCTTTCACCTACCAGTTCCAAAAGAGTTTTCAAATAAAGGATGCTTAATAAATGGACTAAGAAATTCATATTTATATTGTACAAGAATTTAATTGGTGGGAAAATGTAGAGGTGTCCATTTCCTTTTTAAAATAGCTTTTACAGAAAAGTTTGGTGCTTGCATCTGAAGTCCTGTCTTGTCAAAGAGGTTCAGCATGGGCAGAACAACCTTGCCCTACTGCATCAATACCATAAAAATTTAACACTGAGTAAAACATTCTAACAGGAAAGAAAGTCTTTCTGTATCTATAGCTACACTTCCAATTTGTTAATAGCTGTTGGGAGAGTTGGCATTTGAATTGTTCCTCAAGAATTTGCAAGAAACATTTAATTTCACCTTTGTTTATATAAAATACAAATACAGTTTCTGGTAAAACCAATCTGAATTTAACTAATAACCTGTGGGGTAAAGGTGCTATACCTGCCATTGGGCAGACACATAATTTTGTTTCACAAGGACTACTCAGTGTGGCTACCAATATGATATACTAACCACAAAGTAAACCAGAAATTAAGCTAGAAAGAGTAAACATGTTCAAACTCTAAAAAGAGGCAATTTTAAATCATTTTAAGTATGAATGCTGTTCAAACACTTTTTGTGCTGTCGTTGCTGACTTAAAATACCAAAACATTTTGTAATATTTTAAAATTACATTGAAAAAGTAGTGGCTTTTAATGTTAACAGTTGAACTCTTTCTTTCCCAGGAAAATTAGTATATTTAAGACAGCAGTAATAGTGTGCTAAACTCTTGCTTTTGGGCAGTAACACAGTAATTACGGTAAAAAAGCGCCTTGAAACTTGTCCTTTCTTGAGTACAAATGCCCAAGGCAATGCTAAACTAACACAGCTTCATTCTGATCTGGTTTTCTTAAACTATGAATTATACCCTTACATATTTTAATACATGTTGGAACAAAGCCATTCAACTCTGCAACTTTGCATTCTTCCTTAAGCAGATGATGAGACAAAACACATGAGCCTGGGGACAGGGTGTATAAATGAATCACAAAAGGTATATACTTAATTAAAGAGTGGTGTTGTCACTTTTTCCAGATAAAATTCATATAGCCCTCATCTGAGTCAAGTATGAATCAGGGTCCCTACACCAATGTAATGAAACACAGTGTTTAGCATGGAGCAGCTAAAAAACCTGTATCAAACTGCTTCTGATGAGGTCTATAATTTGAACTGACTTGTGACAAGCACACCAACAGAGGCGGCCAGGGAAATAGCAGTAATTCTTACAAAGAGTAAGCTCTGCATCCTGCATATGCCAATGTCTTACTTGTTTATGTTGCTGCCTTCCTTCAGGCGTTCTCCTGCAGCTCCTGTTTTGGACCCTCTTTCACTCCCAGCCAAATCTACCAGGCTGACCTTGCTGACCTTCTCTCCAGAATTCTGTGCAGACAGGACATGGAAGAACAACAGCTAAGAAACACTGGCACCAAGTGCTAACATATCCGGCATTGGCCCCGTGAAATACTTTTCATAACAATGTGGTTAAAGTACCAAATTCAAGATACAAGAGAAGAAGGAATTGTTCGAGTTTTTATAGCTCTTAAAGAGTTACTCATTTATTTTGTAATAAGGGATGAAGCACTAATGAAACAGAATCAGCTGTATGGTAATATAAATAACCTTACTGGCAGAGCAGGCCATGAAAACATATCAACTTCAACAACAGTTAAGACCTAAGACAAGTTTCATGGTAACAATAGAATCTGAAGAAGTGATCCAACTGTTTATCTGGTGTGCTTCCTCTCTCTTCCAGGGTTTTCTCAATCCTATGGTCTTGCCAGTACTGCTTTGATTACTGGACCCCATGGCATTAAAGGTAGAAGCATGGCTAAACAGATAACACGTGGAAGAGGAAGGAAGGAAGGAAGAAGGATTCAGCATGACTTCATAATTAATCATCAGAAATACATACACCAGAATGCAGGTCATAAAGTGTCTGAGTCACTATAATATTGAATACAGCATGAGAGCGGCTGCTTTCTTCATTCATGTTGGTTGCAGCAACTGTTCGTGATTTGTTTCCCTCTGACATCAGTGACTCAATATCCTAGAGCAAAAAGAGTAAAAAGTGATGTTAGGATAAAAGGATATATTGTGCTTGTTGAACGAAATACCCATTTAGATGGAAGGGTGTGTACATACGGGACAGAGGAGGACGGGAAGGCAGAAGTAATGAGAAAATTCTTTGCACATTCTGACATGTATAGGGACAGAGGGTGTGCAGTTCCACAGAATGATGATAGATCACGTCCGCTTTAAGAGCTACACTTAAAAAGCTTTGCAACTACAAGTAATGAACCTACTCCTTATCTGCTGCTAAAATATGTTGGCCACATCCACATTACAAATCACATTGTTTAATGCCAGTAATCAGGCCAGCACAGATCTACTTACACAAGTGAACACAATGCATCTCTTCACTGAACTGTACTAATACTATTCTTCACTTAACTGGCTCAAAGGGTTACCTCACTTGGAGCCTGGACCTTCCCAAATATATAAAAACAAAGATGACTATGCTGAGTCTGAGATATGTGCTTGCTGAGTCTGCCAAGACAGTTTCATAAAAGTCATCAGCCAAAAATTAATTATGAATAGAATTTTCTAGAATTTGAACAAAGAAGGTATGCTTTCAAAGCATGCAATTCACCATAAAGAGCTGCAAAAGCAGGTTTTATTACTCTATAAATATGTGCAGATGCTTCAGAAAAATAAAAATCCTCATTAAAAAGCTAAATGGTTCCCACATAATGCTACATAGAGCATGAACGCTTTTTAAAATCCAACATTTACAAATTAACTTCCTCATAAAAATAAACCTACACAATTCAAACAACTGCTCTGCTTTAATTATTTCCATTGTAGCTATAGTAGTTCATTGGCGTATACTTATTACTGGCTTACTTGAATGAGTTTTGGTAACTCAAGTGGGTTCAGATGCTGTCATGATTTAATTTGTGAATTATAAAAGCTATGTTGTAGCCTCTCATGCAATACATCTGTATAAAGTAAGAGGTTGTATTCAACAACAAAATCAAAGGAATTCATCCTGGAAGACTAACATTCTTATTTTGGAAGCCTCATATTTCATGTGCCAAGGAAACATTGTGTTCTTAATATATCCTCCATGCATTGAAAACAGCAAAATAAAGAGATACCGCTATTATATTTTTAACCAACATAAAGGCAATTCCAGTGCTTTTACATGAAATAAATATTCCTGAAGCATTAGAGAAGATCTTTGAAATTGCCAGACACCATAAATGCACTCAAGAACCAAAATGTCTGGATAGACACTACTTTAGCTCTTGTAAGATTCCTACTGCTTATGTAAAAGATGTTATTATAAACTAGATTTACCTCAAAGTTTGTAACAGCCAGCTGAGACAGGCCATCTACGTATGGTCCCAACACTTTGTGCTCTCGAACCTTAAGGGACTGCCGACTCCTATGAAATAAAGCGGACTTTACACACAATCCACAAGAATGAACTTTATTGAAAAACAAAAACTGCAGTATGAAATTATAAAAATCTTCCATATAGAAGTCATCAATTTATGCCTTACAACTGTAACAGAAAGAAAAAGTCTTCCAGATTTTTTTAAACTCAAATTAACAATAAAGACTCAAATTAACCTAACCAGTTTTAATCTACATACATGAATTATTTTTAATGCATCCCTCCACCCCAGTATTTGAGGCTACAACAGAAACTGAGATGCCTTATTAGGCAGAAAGAATGCTGACAAAAAAGGAAACAAAAAGTCTTACCCTCCTCCCCCCAGCAATTTGCTAAAGCTTCAATTCTTGCCTTTTCCACACTTTGTTGACATATGTAAGTCTCAAATCTATTCTTTTAACTAACTTGCATACTTCTGCACCTACTGCAATTATGTTCAAAATATACCACATATAATCAATGCTCACATGAAAAACTCTATCAAACTACTTCTTTGTCTAGTCATCTCCAAGCCAGAGAGCCTAACCGGTATTTTTGCATAGACAAAATGGAAGAAAGAATTCCATGGGTAAATTCTGAGGTATTACCTTTCCACATTCAAAAAGTTTTACATTTAAACCATGAGAATCAAATTGTAAATAAGTTTCAAATTCCTTCTAGCTGATGAAAATTCATACCTGAATATGGTCTGGATCATGTAACAAAAATACCCAGAATTCACTTGTACATTGTTCATATATTGTTTGTTTGCATCGTTCAATGGTACCTCAATATTTAAATTGATCCACACCACTTACTACTTCATATATAGGCTTTACATGGATATTCTTTCCTTTCTAGTGTTTGACATCTAATCTTTTCTAAAGAAGTCTTATACAATCTGGAAAAAACCAAACAAAACCACAAAAACCAATCAAACAAAACCAAACAACTTCTCAAGAGCTTCCAAAAGTGATTTCTACTTCTATAGTGTCAGACAAAAATAAGGAAGACTGTGGGACAGAGTGAAGCTACTCACCCTTTTGGGTCAAGCAGATCTCTGACTTTCTCATTGTAGATTTCCATATAGGACACTTCGACTTTAAAAGTATGAGATTCATTTTCTTCCACAGAGATTCTCTGAAATAAAGCACAACAGAGCCGTGGGATCAGACCCAGCTGCTCTGCACTGCCCATCATTGAAAAGGATTTTCCTGAACCTAAAGGAAAAAAGGAGAAGAAAATGCTTTAGAATGTAGTTTCTGAGCTACTCATTTGTTCATAAAAGCATGTTTAATTCTCTTTTTATTCCTCCAGAAGCACGTATCTGAACAACATGACATGCTGTTCGAGACAGATAGCTTGCTCTTCGGAGTTCAAGGTACAGGTAAACAAAAAGAAAAATGACCTTACAGGTGTTTTCTTTAGCAGGGCTGTTGCTTGGGACCCCTTTGAACACCCTCAAACATTAAAGACTGAATGAACCTTTGGTATGAACTACTCCTTTCAGGTTTTGAAAGCAACCCCAACACATACTAACTAGAACATATTTACAGAGCTGCTTTAAGAACTTTATATTGTCACTGATTGTGCTAAATGCTTGGCATTTAACATTATGATATCTCAAAGTACAATTTTTTAATATTATTTATATTAATATTTATGTTTTGTTCATCCCACTTCCCACGTGCATGAAAAGTATTCTTCCTCTTCAGCATACAAGACCCACCTGTCTGTCCATAGGCAAAAATACAAGCATTATATCCCTGAAAGGCCTTTTCAAGAATTCCTTCTCCAAGGCACTTGAACACCATTTCTTGACCTAGAAAATAAATATTTTAAAGTTTATTTTAAATGGAATAATAGACTGAAATTTTATGAAAACAAGAAAAAAAAAAAAAAGGTTTGTAAATTATTTATACTATCAAGTACACTGATGAATAAACAAATTATTTCAAGTACAACTGAGTGACAAGTTCAAAACCACAGCCTGAAACTAGTGTGCTTAAATATATTGCTGATTTTCCTGTGAAGGGAGCAGTTCTTTGAAAGTTGATTGCTTAGAAAATAAAATAAATGCCTAAATTTTGTATTGTTTAAATTTTGCAATTAATATACATTACTTATTCAAAAACTAAAATCAAAAGAGTCCATTGCAATGTAACCCATGAGTGAACTAGGATATTAGAGGTACAACAAATACCATGCTAGAAATAGTAGCAGTTGTTCTCTTGAGAACTGGCCTCAAGTCTCACCGCAAGCTATTATGATTCACCTCACGATAAGGTGATGCTGGAACCAAGATGACATTCACTCTAATGACATTCAGGAAGAAAATGTGTATTACGAGGCTGCAAGACTTTCAACAGGGCTGTTTGAGGCTGCATTCTGCCAAATCCACAGTTTGAAATATCAGCTGCAGAATTTCATAGTCTGAAAACTGTCTCCCTGTGCCAGGCATATTATAGATGCACTTCAATCTTTTAGATGCAGAAGATGTAAATAGGCATGGTGGTTGATTTTTTTTTTTTTTTAATAGGAAAGCCCAGAATTTGTATGCCATGAAGAGGGTCAATGGGTTGTCTGCTTCAAGTTCTGATAAGAGAATTCTGATCAGCAGTGTGTAAACCCAAAACAAGCAGAGCTGAGCTAAGGTGCTTGGTTTTAATCTTACGTTCACTGTCTGGTGACTTTCTGAACAGCTATGATCACTGCATCTCTCATTTCGTTATTTTCAGCACTTGCTGGTTACAATAAACTATGTTGTACAGTGGATGCAATAATGACTTTCATAGATCTCAAAATGGAACATACTGACATAAAAAAAACCCTAGCTATACATTTATACATTGCATGAGAATATTTACACTCCATTATCCTTGAGTAACTAGTAGCCAGAGAATTCCTGCAGAACAACCTTCAGAATGATTTACACGCACATAACTAGAACTACAAGTATTACATTACCTTTATTTTCCTTTAACTGTAACCTAATTTCTCTTCTGCTATAAAGAAAAAAATAGCTCAGTGATGCCCTATGAAATGGTCTTTGTGCATCTTTCCAGTTGATTTTCTAAAATTCCGAAGTGTCACTGCTCCTTGGATTAACACAGTTCAGAAATGGAATTAAATACAGGAATACTGGAATTAAAACCAGAAGAGAATCTGCTGTACTCTGAAATAAGTCCATCTCCTTCCCCATGCACATTCATTCACTTATTCAATAATATCTATGTCAAGAGAGCACTGTTGAACAACCTGAAAACAACTACAGAGAATGTTAAACTACTGAAAAATCAATGAAGAAAATATATCAGCAGGATATTTTAAAAAGAACATAAAATACAGAAAAATTTGCTTTCCAGCCAGTTCCTGAGGGCCCATTTTGAAGTTACCAAATATCAAAGAGGCAGGGAGCCACATACTATCTTGCCGAGCAAGAACGCAAAAATCAAGCAAAGATTGAAGCTGAGTACAACTATTAAGAGGCAAGTATATATATTCTACAATAATTATGAGCAGTGAGCAAAACCATTTGTCAGAAGAGGAAAAAACTTCTGACTGGCAATAAACCAGTAACCTTCATGTTTCCCAAGGGGGAAAAAAAAAAAAAAAAAAAAGGAAACAAACAAAACAGTAGATACCAAAACGTTATATAAAACTGTGAATGGTCATAATAACAGTAAGATAACTTAATGGTCAAACTACCAGGAGGTAAAATAAGATCTGTTTTTAACAGAAAAGAACACAAGATGTTAAGCTTCAACCATGGATATTTTATTCATTTGCTAATGCAATGCACTGTTGAGGGTAACATATCATCCATGAGATTTTGTTATTTTTCATTAAGAAACCTCACTGCTTCCCCATGAATTTAATCAGTGGCTTTGCAAACCGATTTAAAAAAATTTGTATTACGTAGAATTGTCTATGTGCACTTACCGTCAAAAGAGATAATGCAGTTCCATTGTTGCATTTTTGTTTTGTTAAATAAACCTACACCACCTGCCATTAACACTTTTGCTTATTTATAGGACTTCACTTCCACAGACACCCAGTGCTTAGAGGTAAGCAGAAGTTTTAACTTGATTCTAACTTAATTTACAGAAAAAGGGAGAATTACAGAAAGGAAAAAGATATTTAGTTAACAGAAAGATTTCCCTTACACTGACCTTTACTGCCTTTCAGACAGGGTTTCCCAATCTTCCAGCTGGCTAAGACCATTACATTACAATCTTACGGAGGCAACTAAAGGCTTGACACTGAAAAACCTGTCCCCTCTCCCATCCTCTGCTCAGAACACAGGCAAGCCTTAGGTGACTGACAGATGTGCAACTAGCCAAGCTGAGGAAAGTGTACCCAAGGCTGTCAGGGACCCAGGGTAAGCATACAAGCTGCCACTTCTCGCCGGCCAGGATCTCCCATCTGCTCAACCCTTTGAGGACTGGGGACCTAAGCCTGGTGTATTCTCATTACAGACAACAGCCTAATAATCTTGTTTCCTTTACTTTAAAGAGCAAGACTGTTAACCTGGAATCATGCAGCAAGAAAGATTATTGAATGATGTTGCTATACACTCTATACCTCTAGTTATGGCCCATGTGGCAGTGCCCTTAATGCTCCAAGGTATAAAACCCTACTAAGACATTGTTAGAGATGCTCCGATAATCAAAACCTGAGAAACACTGGTAGATGCCCACTCAGTTCTGAAGACTTACATCAAGACAGTATGAAAATCTTTTCCGCTTTTACCAGACATCTCTGTCTTCATAGCCTCAAGACTTTATCTGCACATTTTGACAAGTGCAACAGCAAGCCTGATGCCAACAGTAGGGGGAAAACAGTAAATCTTGCAAAGATCAAATTAATAACTCCTTATCTCTCAGGCAGCCACTTCCAGGAGGAGACTGACCCAAGAATCTTTCCATCAGCTCTTAGGGCTGTTTTCAGTCCTAAGAAATTCTTCACTATGAGAATGGTGAGGCCCTGGCACAGGTTGCCCAGGAAAGCTGTCCCTGCCACACCCCTGGCAGTGTTCAAGGCCAGGTTGGACGGGGCTTTGAGCAACCTGGTCTAGTGGATGGTTTAGTTCCTTCCATCTAGTTCCTGCCAGCCCCATGGGCAGGGGGGCTTGGAACTAGATGATCTCTATGATCCCCTCCAACCCAAATCATTTGATGATTCTATGATTTTCACTCAGTGATGTTCATCACTCTGACGTGCTCTTGACATCCTTCCATAAACATTTCTCTTTTTTGCAGTAACCATACTGAAGACTTCAGCATTCAAAGTGGTATCTGCAACTTACCTGAAAGCTAAAGGAAACCCATCCTCCTTCTCAGATTTATATTTTTAACCTACATTCGTGGAACTTTCGAATGCCATGTTTGTGCTACCACTATGCATCAAGGGCATTTAGCATGGCACTCAGAAGCTAAAAGGTTTTTTCACATGTTCTCTACCTACTGAAATGGCTGGGTATTCCAACAGAAAAAGTACAGAACAAAGTAAAGGTGGCAAAATATGGCAGTGCATATGTTAATAGTGGCTCTTAAATTATTAACAAACCTAAAAAAAGCCTCCACATTATCTACCCACAAAGCTGCATGCAAAAAATCTTATGTTGGAATCTCTAAGCCAGAAGAATTATTAGAACATTTAAATTTGGAGAATATGCAAGATAAAAAGTCCCTGAAAACAGAAAGATAAATACCCTGACATGCAAAAATACAACACACAATTTTCAGAACAAGGAATTTAAGTATTCTTACATCTCTATGCTCTTTCACCTTCTCTTCCTCCAAATCATCCCCTTACAGTTCCTGAAGCACTAGTCAGGAAATCCAATTTGACAGTGCTGCTGGGAAAACCTCCACATCGCAGAGGAACCCTAGGACCCCTTCTCACAATCTGGAAAATTAAGCTATTTACAGATAAAGATTAAACATTCTCAAGTTCTCTTGACTGGTGACAGACAGCTGAAGAGAAGGAAGAAAAGGGAGGGGAGGAAGGAGGGCCACTCCCTTTCCAACAAAACTCCCTTTTAAAAAGGCAGTTGCTATCTTTCCTAAGAGCTGCCCATTTAGCGACAAACACGTTCAAGTTGTACTGTAACGAAAATTTCAGTGTGTGGTTTTTAGATATCTAGTATTTCTAGTTCAGAACAACCTGTCAATCTGAAATAGGGATAATAGTCTCATGTTAGCACACATTCATTCAGCCAGGTTGTGACTGCAACGTTATGACACATCACTGCCATTCCTGGAACCCCCTCCCTTACATGGCAAAAACAGCTAGAACCAAGTAACAACTTGTTATGCACAACACTGAAAAATCAAGTCTCTATAGGGCCTAATCTCTAAGCCAGAACATTTGAATAAGCAAATCTTGACAGCAATAAATCACAGCTGGTTCCATGACCTAATAGTCACAATAAAACCTGATCCGTGGCGATTAGAATTATTAAAAGCTCTGCTACATAATAGTTTTAAAGAATATCACTAAAATGGGAAGATAGATGCCTATGGTTCACCTTAACAAGAACCTAAAAGCACAACAGCTAGCATCATCTAACTACTGCAGTCTAATGTTACAGTAATGACAAAACACTGGACTCTTTAATGTTAGAAGCCTTGATCCACTAAAAGTTCTCCAGTGCTTCAAATTAGGTACTGTAATGTCTATGTCTTAAGTGCTGGACCCATACAGCACTAAAGCCACACTGAATAAGTTCCCCCCAAAATTTATATGTCAGATGTCAGCTGTATGACACAAAATTAAGCCCCACATGCTATGTAGAGGCTCCTTTGAAAGGAAAAGAAGGGAAAAGGGGAAAGGAAACAGTAAGAAAGGGAAGAAAGGGATAGGTTTCTCCCATGTAACAGCTTAAATATTAGTCAGAATTACAGACAGACAATTCACGATCTCTTGTGAGGGTAGAAGAGTATAGTTCTTTAAGGTAGTTTGTTTCCTTTTAAAACAGCTGCTAAAAGAGCAGTAGTCAGTACACATATTTTCTATAATATTAAATATTAGCCCAGAGTCAGGTGTTTAGCCTTCCAGGACGATGCAGCCTGCAGAAACACAGAGCTGAGATTTCAGGCCAAATGTGATGCAGCTTAGGGAATTTCAGAAAAATCCACCAACAAGTTGATACAGCACAAGTTCCTTGGAATCAACCTGCCCAAGTGCCATGGTAGTTATTTATACCATCTCTTGAATCCTTCCCCAAACTGAAGGGTTTCCTTCCTTCCTTTTAAAAATCCACTTCATTGCAGACTTCAACAGGCTCTTACTATTGTCTAGGCTTGTAAAAAGAATTCTTTGTTCTCAACTCTGAGAATTTCTCAATGTCCTCGTCTCCACTAAAATGCTGAGCTGTTATTTGTCTCTGTGAGCTGTTCAAGACAAGCAGGTGTTATCCATGAAATGACTCTTGAACTATTCAAGTCAAGAAACAGACAGCAATAAGAAGCTATTCTGCTTACTCTCAAAATACCTCTCCTGCAGCCTGTCAGGTAAAGCTCCAGCCGTTTTCCAGATCAAGGCAAACTCATTTTATCCTAGAAGAAAAATTCCTCTCCTTCCTCAAAAATTTCATTGGCCTATTTGTGTTTTGTTTTTCTGATAAGAGGTTCACATTCTCACCAAATACCCAACTATGTCTTTCAGAATTAAACAGTCAAAAAAGGTGCAGGAGCTAGCATCTGATGATCAGCACAAATCCAGAGGTTATAACTGTTCCTTGCTTGGAACAACACAGCCACAAATTGCTCAGAAGCACAGAGCATTGGTATTCAGAATAATCCTCCCTCTATCTGCTAACTCACTGAATTAAAAAAAACAAAACAAAACCCAAACTGAAACACCACCACACCACCCCACCCCACCCCCCCAAAAAAAGAAACCACCCATTCACTTTAACATCAATTATAAATACTTCCTTTTCAGTCTTAAAAGCAATTCAGAGGGGTTCTGCAGCTTGCAATCTCTAAGATGTCATACCAAGTTGTTAAAGAGCCTCCATCTCCTACAGCATCTGAAACCAAAGCACACTTCTACAAAGGTCTTGTAAAGAGCTTACTCCTCTTCTGTGCTCCAAACTCCCTCTTGTCTTTGAGAGATACAGTCCTGCAAGGACAGCTGCAAAGATGCCCTCTAGGTATTTTTCGTCACATGAAGGTTACCTTCACTATTCTGTTAGTGAGACTGATGGATCATTTTAGAACCTAACCTTCTGGAGGGGGCGGGGGGAGGGGTAATTGTTAAAAAAGCAATCCTGCTACCAACAGCAACAATCCCTCTGTTTTCAAATGCTGGAAAGAGAAAGTAACTTCCAAAGTGGAATAGGATCCCTTGTGCTTCCTGAAAATGAGTTCAGAAAGAAAATTACTAAGTACAAAGTAAATCTTATGTTCAGCCAAAAAAAGCTGAAGACATCTCACAATAAATTGACTGTAAGAGAAGGAGATGGCTAATCCCATTTCAGGTTCAGCCATATTCCCCCACAGCCAGAGAGTTGTAACCAATTACCCAATTAAACAATGAATTTTATCCAAACAAGAACCTTTCTCTTGTGCAAAAAATATGGATAAGTGCTGGTAGTACTATAGATCAATCAGCAAAGTGAAAACTAAACCTAGCCCATAACCATGTGTGACAGCTTTAAGGATTCTGTAACAAATGTGCATTTCCAGGAAGCACAGACTTTGGTTTTGTTGATGTACAAAAACATCCCAAAAGCAACATGGAAGAGTTATCTACCTAAGCCAACACAGAATTCATACGTATGTTGTCTGCAATGCACACCATACTGTGAGGTTTCTGATGTCCTACATATCAGTTGACAAAATCTTTAATATGTTGTGATATACACCATGCTACATCTAGTCATCATAATGCAAGATACGCATGTTTTGGTTTTGCCCAAAGAGCAATGACTGACAGGGTAGCCTCACACTTGAGAATGTCTGGTTAAACCTTTCACTATCATATCTGCCAATGTATTTCTGTGATGCAGATAAAAGGGTTTCTCAAGTAACTAAATTTGTCTCACACGACTTTTATATTTCAAGAATTTTACTTAAGCCTGAAGCTCATATATTACTTACATTTACAAGCACTCTAGACTTAGATTTCAAGCTTTATACATGTTTCTTTTTAATTGTGCTTGCCAATGACATTAAACTTAAGCATCCACAGAGATTACTTTGGGCAGGGAGTATTTAATGCATCTGTCTAGCGAGACCTAGAACCCCCCTGAATTCGCCTGTAGGTGGGTTAAACTGAGACAGAAACAAGCTTAACTGGTTAGGGGTGTTTCTGTGGTCTCTCTCTTCTCTGTCAGTGGATTCATAACACACAGCTCCCACCTGCACACTGGAGGCACTTGGGGCCAAGATCTGAGTATGTACCATCACCTCTTTCCTTTAGAAGAAACAGAGGCGTGCAGACACAGAAAGAGGTGCTGTGTGCTCCAGACTCTACCAGCCTGAACTAGGAATATGGTGCAGTGCACATGATCAGTGCAAAGACAGTTACTGCAAGACAAGCAGACACGGAAGTTTTTTCCTTATGAAACGTATCTTTGCTCAGGAAAGCAAGAAATACAGTGAAATCTGTGATCAAGTGCAACTCCCAAGATTTGGGATTTGACACCAGAGACTACAGCAGTCAGAGATATATTTTAACATAAGTATATGACAGTTCATATATTACACCATTGATCTCAATCTTTGAGCTAATTAACCCTATCGACCTCCAAGATTTCTTACGGGCCATGGAACTTCGTAGTATGAGTATCTAAAATGACTGCCTTTTTTTTTTTTTCACCTCCTTTGCATGGACCACAGCTTTGAAATCCCCGTGTTCAGAGTCAGCTCTATCAAAACAAGTCCTCTTATAAAGTATGAATGTGCTAATACACAAATCCAGTTATGAGAAAACTAACTACTGGGATTACAGTCTTGCCTGGATTATCCAGCTTTTGGGAGGAAGGAGTCACAAAGCTGATCACTCAAAAACTTTAGGGATCCGAACAATTAGACTACAAATGTCTTGAAAGACCTGAAATAAGCACACTATCTGAGGAGAACATGCTTTATTCTTCTCTTACGTGCAGGAACACAGAGCACTGAAAACACACATGTTCATCACTAGCATTAGTCAGAAGAAATTACTGATGCAGAACTGAAATTTCATTCTAAGTGACAGACACAATCCTCACAAAAGGCTCTGCCAGAAGATAAAAAACGACCACTACCACTTGGATGTAAAAGCACTCCTCCTAAACAGTGTCCTGGGCACCTTAAGGCTTGCATTCCTTCTGAACTGAGGCACCAGCACTCAGACGACTCAATCCCTGTAAAAATGAGGAGTCTGCTTCTGTGAAGAAATCACTTCAGCATCACAGTTCAAAATGCAAGAACACCTCCACAAAACAAAAACCCAAACTCTCATGTGTTCTCAAATTATTTACACTGTCAGATGTATGGAAAATAGTTTACCTGCATATTTTGTGATGTTTGATTCATCCATGGACCAGAAGCAGTGATCGAAGGCAAACACCTGTAGAAGCATATAAAAAGACAAATTAAGAACTCTGGTTACACAGCACGTCTGTTAAAGCAGTACGATCCGTGACTGCTGAATTGCAGTTACTCTCTACGGTTTTCTATGGATCCTAAATCAGAAGTGTAGAAAGGCTTCATCTGCAAGAATACTTCTGGGAAATCTTGAGAGTAACAGAACTGCAATACTTATTTTTTATCTGCATTATTCACAACACTGCTTACCGAATCTCTTAATACAGACTTCAAAACTCAGCCAAAACCTAATAATTATCTCCACTCTTCTCCAGGCCCTAACGCTGCAAAAGTTTCTGCCAGCAGTAATGAAATAGCACCAAAAGGACTCAATATACAGAACATGATGAGATGACTATTTAGCAGACACCAATACAAGACACACAAAAGTTCTGGCATGGGCTGGACTTCTAAGGCTCAAAGAAGAGCATTACTACTTACAAGCCTTAAGGAACAAATAAGTACTATCAGATTATCTACCTAAACTAAGAGTACAGTACTGGACCTCAGTAGAGGAAGCTCAAAACTTAGAAATAGAAAATGTAGCTGTATTAGACAAACAAGCTATCAGAGCTTGCTCTAATGAAAAGACTTAATATCACTTCAGTCAAGAGTTCCAACTGGGTAGAAATCAAATGAGATTCAATACTGTGCTCAGTGGACTTGCGGACCTGGAAGAGTGTCCTGTAAAAACACTTAACACGCTGGGATTTGATCCAAGTTACTTTTTCTGCACATCCGAGAACATCATGGTATAGACATTTAACACTGTTGTTTTGACAGCTTTATATTGCCACAAACACACCTTAAGCTGCAGTGCATTTTTCATATTTTACCATGGTGAAATTGCTGTGGACGAGTTAATTATACAAATTCTTTTTCTTTTGCCTTTGGGATCCTAAGAGGAGAGGTAACAACACAACCAATCTTCTTTGTTAAAACTCTGCACGAGCCAAGATTTTCTCTGTCTGGTCTTCCAACAGCTGATCTCCTTAGTGAGACAAACCATGAAGGTCAACATAGAGCAAGAACCACAACCACTATTGGCAGACACACCAAATTCCCTGTGAGACAAACCCTGAAGTGCAGAAGAAGATGGATCATTTCCTTTTGGCTTTTGGGGATGTAGAACATCTTGGAATCCCTGCTATTGCAGAATTACTATGCAATCTGACCTACAGATACATTGTAACCTACTTCTTCCCAAAGTGTCTGTTGCTGCAAGCATTTCAGACGGACTAAAACAGGTAAGCATAGTAACCTCGCCTCCTTAGCTTTCCCCCAGCTTAATGCAAAACACATCAAATGGCCTGAGAGAAGACTCCATACTGAGAAAACACTTAATTCACAAGAGGAAAATGAGTTCTGGAATTCCCTTCTGAAGAGAAAACAAACCAACACATAATAACAATCTAACAGGGAGGTCTGAGTTACTTAACTGCAGCACAAATAGAATGAGACAACTTCATGAGTCAGGACGTTCCCTGATGTGGCCCAGTTAAAGATGTAACTTCGCTACTGAACTACAAGCAAAATGCAGCAGTTACCTCATCTTCAGACCTCCACCTAAGTAGGGGGCTTAGATTACTTCTGTGCATTTGTTTGTAGCACTTCAGATCTAAGCATAAAGAACTCCCTGTCATCAATGAAAATGGTCTAACCCTTCTCCAAACTTTTATAATCCAAGAACTACTGTTTCTCTTCTCACATTCCACTTGTATGGACTTTTCTTCACAGGACTTGGTAACAATATCTATCTGCAGTGGACCATGCCTCCCAGTTAAAAGAGTTACCCAGCTACACATGATCTTGTGTAATGACTTAAATGTCAATGCAGCAGTACTGTTGGCCAATTTAATCTGTTGTCCTATGCATTTTCCCCTTGGTTAACATGGAAAATCATGATAGGATTACTCAGTGACTCCTAATTTAAACACTGAGACCTTAAAAACTCAAATATGTGCTTTCAGCCAAGCATTTCTCACAGAAAAGCAGCTCTTACTTGGGGGTTTTTTTAACAGTAAAAATTGGTCAGACTAATTTTTAAAAGTTCAAAAACGATTATGCAAGAGGAAGACAAAAATTCTGTCTCAAGATAAAACAAATGTAAATATAGCATTTTAGTATGTTTTCATACATAAAAAGCCAGTGTATGGACTTGGTCTATACATAAAATCTGTTCTGGAAAAATCACCAAATCCTTCTAGCGGAAGTAACAAGATCACTTTAAAATAAAAATAAATAAAAAAAAAAAGCATCAGGCAATAAAGTGGGAACTGCTGCTGGGGCACACACTGTTTGCAAACATGTAGAGCAGTTGCAGTTAAAAATCCCTTCTCCATTAAAACAGGTGGGCAAACATTTCAAAATTATTTTGATCAGTGATGACAAAACAGCAACCTTGAACATTCCCAGCCATGATAATTTAAGGAAGTGCCTAATCAAAGCAATTTTCAGGACAGCTCAGACCTTTGGGAAAACAGGTTCCAAATGCAAGAATTAACAGAGTAATGCATAAAAGAACAAGAAACGTGGCCCCAACAATTGAAGCTCTTCCCCACACACCTAATGAAGGCATTATCAGGAAATGCCTGTAGGGCAGTGTCCTACCTGAAGAGCGACCCTTTTGATTATCTTTTCTGCTCAAAGATGACTCACAAGTTTCTATTTTCCTGACCTCCAGTGCAGGACACGCAGTCACAAGAAGCGCACACAAGCATACTCAGGATCAAGATACAGAACCTAAGCTATGTTGGAAAAGAAAAAACCCTCAGTCTCATCCTTGGTGCTCCCTTACTTCTTCCGTTTTCACTCATTATTATTCTTTGAAAACAAAAATGTTGGGTATCACTTTTTCTTTTGATAGGAGTATGAAGAATAATAATCTTTTTTTTTTTTTAGTCCCCAAGATCTATTTCCTTGAAGAAGGTATTAAACCCCCTATTAATATAACTATCAAAGCTATCAGGAGTTCTGATAATGCTGAAGTCTCAGACTCAGTGGCCAATACTCACGCTTGGAATTACCGAGCACTGAAAATGTCTTTTTAGCTTTTTGAAGAAAGAAAAAGTCTTCACCAACTTACATAAAAATTCTATCAACCGACTATATCAAAAAAACTACTGAAACATATTTGAAGAGAGAAATCTGTGACACACAAACAGAACTTTTTAAACTTCAAGCACTCTCTGCGAATTAGCTTTTAACTACATTTTGGAAAACCTATTCCATTTAGGTGTTTTAACATCAAAAGAAAAAAACCTGCAAATATTTTTGTTTGAAAGTCAAAGTTTAAAGTTGCTGCCTGTATCTCCACTAATATTTCCTGAACTTACAGTTATCCTTCTAAGCATTTTGAGTAAGCCTCTGACTATATGAGTAAGTATTTCTGCTTTCCTACTCTGATGTCAATTCCATAGCCACTGAACCAGGAAGCTTAATGTATTTTCAGAAGGTAAGCAAAATGGGAAAACCACGAAAGACAGGTATAGACCTACTTCAAGTATGCGCATAGGTTGGCGTTCAATCGCAAGAAGACATAAGTTCATACAGGTGTTGGCCAGTTCTCACATCTGGACCCAAAATTATTCTGGGCTTTTAAATAACAGAGGGAATTAACAAACAAGCCTTAAAATGTTCTTATTTTTCCAAGATTCTATATCTCATACCTCATCCTATCATCTGAAGAGAAAGCTAGATGAAAGAAAGCTGCCAAGAACCTGCCACAGTAGGGTAGTAGCTTCTAAGCTCCATTTTGAGTGGAGCAAAGAGACAAAACAGGGTGGGTTTTTTTCCCCAGCTCTATTATTCCTGCATTTGAAACTGCACAGTACTTTCAGTCTCAGTGGTATGACAGTTGTAAAAAACCTTGGACACTGCACTTTAGACATCTAGAACTCGTCAAGTAACACAGCTACAAGTAATGGAATATGACTCACCAGGACAGATCTTGCACAACTGGAAGTCCATCATAAAAATAAGTACACGAGGTTGAGTACGTACTCATCGTATATTCATTGTAAGCATTTTAACTCACAAACATTACATCACCAACATAAAAATTGAAAGTTATGAGAAAGAATTAGCCAGTAAGTGCTAGATCCTGGTACCACTGTATGCAGTGTCATTGTAAGTGGCCACATTAGCCTATGTAATAGTTATATAGGCCAATTTTACATTATAAAGAACAATACTCAAAGTGTTAGTAACCATTAGAAATTAAACAAAAGACTTGTTCTGGTAACCACAAAGTTTAAGTAAAGGAAAAATACAGAGCTTTGATTCAGATTTCTTCAGCAAACACCTACAGCAGTTTAAGACAGCTGTTGGCTACTATTTTGCTAAGGAGGCAGCTAGAGGTTATGGCTTCCACAGCAAAACTGTGATGCAGGTCCATGCACCCACCATAACAGGGAAAAATCTGGAGTTTTGTTTCAAATTCACCTATACCTGTGACTTAAAATGAGATTTCAGGTTTTAAACTAGAAAAGCTATTGTATCTGACCACTACACAGCATTAACTTCTTACAGAATCAGAAAAGACAGCCACTGGGTAGTCACATTTTAAACAGCCAAATCAATATTCTGGAGAACTTGTTTTATTAAAGCCCCTAATCAATGGCTTGAAGAATTAGTAATTTTAACAGTTTACACATTGAAGTATACTTATGTGAACTATTTGCAGGTAATGAGTACTATATCCAGTATTAACTGCTTACCAGATTAAGCCAAATGACATAATTAGTTTAAAAAGGAGTCTAATTTCACAATCATTATTCATTGCTTTGAAGCCTAACCCTCACTATAGACTAGACAGAGTCTGGGGCTTCCACTATTTAGCAACACTGAACATAATCCCTAACATACTGCCTATGTAGCTGTAAAATAGAGCATATGCACAACTACGGTTTAATAGCCATTTCCATCTGACCAATAGGTGGCAAATTAATCATGTTTTGTTTTTACAGAAAAAAGTTATGCTGGACAGGTGCAGATATTGCTCACATGAATCTCAATGAAGCTATCTGACATGTAGGATGATTTACAGGGCTACCTGGTTGCTAAAATGAACAACAAAGGAGAACTGAGGAAGGGAAGTTTTCATTCACCAGGCAGCTGTTCCAATATCCCTATTTTAACTGCTGATAGGGATAAGTGATAAAGGAGATATATTAGGAAATGGCAAACACAGACTACACCAGTAAGCTTAATGTAAAAGGAAAACATTGAAGAATTGGGGGGGTAGGGGGAGAAAGTTGGTCACTGTATGAAAAACACAAGACCTATCACAAGCCTAAAGAAGCAGGGACAGAAAACCTAAAGGTAGCCGAGGGAACAGCTCACAAATCTCAGGTCAGAACAGGCATTTTACCTTTGTCACAAACTTACAGGAAAACCCCAATATAAGTAATATACTTAAACACAATGTTTGTAGAAATAGGAAAATGCCCTAATATCCCTATATAACTTTTCCTACCAGTGCTTCAGAGTTACCAGCTTGAACTAGGATCACAATTCATCCATGATGGATGATAAACTGGCTCACTAAAGCAAACAAACTTCCAACAGTTCAGAAATTTCATTTCAAAATATCCTGATTTGAAGACTAACTACGTGCAGCACCCTAAAAACTGTATAAAATCAAGAAACATATAATCTTGTGTCTTTAAAAACAATGTCTACTTCCACTGATGGTGAGAACCTCCTTCTGTCTCAAAGTGATATACATTTCATACTACCTCATAAGTTTAGGCATTATAGCTTAAGGGTGCTGATGATCATCTAGCTATATCTAACACTACTACTACCACCATGGCATATATGCACAAGCTGCAACTGTTATGTTTTTGTCCAAGAAATGCAAGGCTATAATTAAGCTTTTACATAATGTCAAGAATAACTTTATCTGCCTGTAATGGAACACGAATGATGAAGTACAGAAAATGAACTTATAAAAAAGTTTTTGTGAAATAACAACAGAAAGAAGAAGGGTTTTTGCATTTAAAAAAAAAAACAATGATGAAACTCTTTTGTATTAAATGCATTAATTTTTACTAATAGGACTTTATCAAACACTTTCAAAAAATTTGAAAAATTAGAAGAAAAAAAAAACAGGTCCATAATTTTAAGAAATTGAATCAGGGTGGAAGAGTGGGGAGGGATGTAAATCAGTACAGCTTTCCATTTTAAATTTCAGTATCAGTGTTATTCATTTTCACCTGCTGTGACCTTAAACTACATTTTTATGTATGCATGCATACATATAAAATAGCTGCCTGAACCATAAACTACATAGATAACCATACAAGACACATACAGATCAATATGCCTCCCAATTTCTATTCCCAAGAGGCCTACAGAATGCTCTGCTACACCTGCAGAACTCAGATTTGAATGTACTGTTCCTTGAAAATCTACAAATCAAAGAAAATATTATAATGTAATAGCTCATTCACAGCTAACTATAGTTTTCTGCTGCAAAAAGTACCATCCAACAGAAAGGATAAAATTATCATTAAATTGCTGAAGCAAAATACCAATGCAGTGTTTTGCATGTGCTGACATGATGCAGTTCTCACAGTCCTTTTACTTTATCATTGCTATCAGCCCCGTACCAATACTGTATTTGCCATCTCAATGAAGCTTCATCTTTATCCCAGTAAGTACCTAACACACATTCTCCCTCCCTTTCCCTGTATTACAAACAAGACAGAGAATCTTTTCCAGGCAAATTCCGGTGCACTGGCCACTTTACACAAATCATTAATCCCCTGGATATCATCAACTATAAACAAGAACAGTTTTGTTTCTTACTAGATGTATTATGCCACCTTTTAAAAACAGTATTTTAAATTTTAAGCACAACTGTATGCAATTAAACGTTTAACACATGACATGTATTTACTCTTTCTAATGTTTTTATGAATACGGTAAGATCATGCTTGTCCTCGTCACAGCTTTAACACGTCATGCTTTGCCTGCGTGTCAGTTGGATTAAACTGTATTTTTCTGGAATTATAAAGTCTTTAACTTAGAAGTATGAAGAACAGATTTTTTCATGTATTTTCATTTATCAAAGCTGTATTTGATCACGTACTACAGCAATATGCCCAACACTTCTGCATTGCCCAACATCTGCAAGCAGGTACAAATGCAAAAAGAGACAAAACACTTACCTTAGGTGGTTTTCTAGATGATTGGCAAAAAAATCAGCAACAATGATGAGAAGTACGAATACACCATTCACATGAAGGGAAGAGACCAAAGAAAAAAGAAAAGAAACATAGTCAGTGTACATCATTACTGTAATCTGAAATTTTTTGTAATCCACAATGTATTTAAGAATAATCAAACCAGAAGGTATTCGTATGATACACCACAGATTTTTACCCACTTAAGTAACTACTTAACTACTAATACAGACCCACATTAAAAAGAAAGGAAGATTTCAGATTCCTTGTAAGTATAAAAATCTAACAGCACTCAGTTCTAGAAGGAAGACAACCATCCGTTTTGTGCAGAAGTCAAACCACAGCCCATCTTGGGTGGCAAACAAACTGAGCCTGCTAACTGGCAGACTACGGCGCCAGGGTGAAGCCCCACTCACTTCACCAATGCTACACATACAAGACCAAGGCAAGAGCCAAATAAATGCTTCTTGTAGAAATTATAGAATTGTGAAGAACAATGAATCTGTGTTTTGTTTTCTCTAGCCACAGAACACCTACACAGAGCATAGGAAGCCAACAAAGAAACACCAATACGCTTTATATACAACTCCAATGAGTGCCGTGAGAAATAAACCAGAAATGACAGACCCCCAAACTAAAGACACCAGCTCAGAGTACTTCAACTTCTCCTTAAATGCTTTTATGCTTCTGCTGGCAGCCGTAAGACCACAGAGTAACTTAAATCAGTTTGGGTTTTTTTGGTGTGATTGGTTTCAAGTGAGATTGCTGTGTGTCTCCCTATGCGGCCCTGTGCTTGCTAATACCAATGCTTGAGAGGAGGTGAAAATATGGTGCAGAATTAGACTGACTTAGGCCATTCATGAAAACTACAACCTTAGGCATATGTTTGCATTATGTACTGAAATAAGCCTTACGTGATATACAGAAAAAATTTCTACTTGCTCTTCACATCAAGGCAAAAAATAAAAATCAAACAAATACGGATGGAGAAGAAAAACACAAACCAGTGAAGCCTACAGACAAAGCACAAGCAGAGAACACAGTAAGGTTTCTAAGATATGGATATGGATGAAAGTTCTCCACCTACTCAGCAACAGACATGCTACACAAAATTCAAAGTTATCAAGAGGCTACAGTCTCAGTGCAGAAACACATGGGACGAAGCCATGCTTTCATCCACCATACTACACATACTGACTCCACCAAGTTTGGGGGAGAACACACTGAGCAGTTTTCTTAGCAACCCACAGTGCAACAGCTCAGCAAAAAAAGCTGAAGAGATGCAAATCCACAAACATATCTTACACAATCTTTTCTGCCTAGTCTCAGCTCCTACCTTAGATGACATGTCTGCCTAAACCAGAAGTTACACAGCTGGTACACAGTACTGGTATAACGCAAACATGCTTTGCCTCTGAGCCAAACCGCTCATTGCACTTGTAGCCTTTCATTAACGGTGGCTACACAGGCTCAGTTCATCACTAGCTCATGTCCAGGTGCCTGAGAACTTGTGCAGAATGCACTGCTCTGTAATTGAAAAACACATTTAGCTGTACCTTGAATATTTTCCACTTGAATATGTTTTCTGATGTGATAAAAGTCCAATGTTATCAGCTTGTCCAGCCAGAGGCCCAGCACAAGCTCTAAACTTCCAATTCCTTCAAAGAAAGCCATTCAAAAGTTTTTTATAAAGCTTTAAAATACACTCATATCTAGAAATATAATTTTAGAATACATTAGCTTTCGTAGGGAATTTCTGATAGACTGATGTACAGGTTCAACAGCCCTAAACAGTTTAATTCGTGTAAAAAACGACAGAAAATGTACCAACTGTATTTTTTTCCTGAGATCATTCCTATAAGCCACAATTGTCAAAGGTACAGAACATCACTGAAGTAAACAAATGGTTTGACACATTTCTTAAGATATTTACTTAAACAATGTAAGCCACTTTTAGGAGGTTTCCTCTTATTTTCCTCTGATGCCCATTTTAAAAAAATAGCATAATAGCAACTTTTCAAGCCTCTGGTAGATATCAGAGCTTCCCAGTTGGAAGGAAGATGTTCACCCCTGATCTTCTGAATTTCAAAGCACCAAGAACTGCAGCTTCCTACCATATGTAACATTCTACTGCTCTGAACTCTTTGGCTGTTAAAACCAAACTAGCAACTCCACAAGTCACCTGCTAGCATCACCAGCAGCAAAGTAATGAAAGGCCTCTGGACTAAGTCAGCTATACTGGCTCACAGGACGGATTTTCTTAAGCTATTTGGAAATTCCAGCTAACCAACTCACTGTAACCATTATCCTGGCAGTAATTCAGATGGAGACACTCCAAAAGACTTTCTTCAAAGGGCTCAGACTAATAAATAAAGAACTGTTTACAGTTTATCAGAAATCACATCTGTAGCAGCTTAAAGATGTGCTATAAAGCCTGCATTAGCACCCATCAATTTTTCATATTTTGTTTTAACACATGCTTCATGCTTTCTTTCCTTCCCCACAAACCAGTCGCTTTCAGCTTCATATGTAAGTGAATTTGTCTCAGTTTTTACAAAATGCTGACTACAAAACTGTGGTGATTCCATGTCACAGCTGGGGCTGGGGCGGGCAGGGGGAGGAGGAACAGACAACAGATCACAGAGATACAACAGTTAGAATTTTTGAGTCCACGTCTAATCATCCATGGCGTCAATGACAACATGCAGGTATACGTTTGAATGACAACAAAATCTTCTCAAAAGTGGACAGCTAGCACACTTCAGGAAATTATCAGTTACCTAAAGTTACAATGCAGCGGCACAACAGTGGATTTTGGTTTAACCTAACAAAAGGCATCTTCCATCTGCACACTCAGATGGAAGACTGACTTTATTCACATGCCTAGAACTTAAACCCAAGGTAAATACCACGAAGAGCCTGTAAAATATTCTCATAGGTCAGAAGAAAAGTATGAATTTCAAAGACCACAAAGCGCACTGAGCTTCTGAACTTCCTCATGCCTTTGCTTCTAAGTCATTATGACTTTAGTAAAATATCACTTAGAATGATTTTCTAACTTTGCTGAGCAGTATGTCTGCTTGGGTATCTACTTGGGCTTTTTCTTTTACAGCAGTACTAAGTCTCTCCTGTCCTGCTTGGCTAACACACATCAAGATCACAGAGTATGTAGCTACCTCAAATTTTTATCCAGAATCAGAAAACCAATTTCTAGAAAGATCTGTGCTATTGCAAGCTTTTTTTTCCTGTTGTCTCTTGCTAAAACTGAATTCCTAATGCTGCTTACCTTTGCTAAGAGAAGCGATTCTCAGTTTTGGTTCTCATGGTCTATGCTAGCACATGAGAACTCTTCCCATCCACATCCACATTTTCTCTCTACCATTTACCCACTGCATCTGAAATAATATAATGAGAGGAGTGTGCTTTGCTAGTAGATTAACAGCAGCAAAGGTTGTTTCTTCTTTTTTAAACTACCCACACTATTTAACAGCCGTCTCCCTTTGTCATACAAAAAGTTGATGTAAGTTGGCATTACATATTCTGACCAGAAAACTAGTCACATGCAATAGGAAGCAACAGAAGACACCCCTGCACTATGATCATCCAGAAGTACACAATACTGTCAGCTTAAAGACTTAATAATTTTCAGATCCACACTTGATTTTTTGTCCCTTAACCACTGTTGATGTCACTTCAACCAGTAGGAAAAACATTTCATGTATCAAAAACCTGAAAGAATTGGGTTTTTCTCCCCATTCCATATAATGGGGTTTCATGAGCCCCCCCATTACCAGTCAAGAAAGTCACCTTCAGAAGGGACAAGGTATGTTTAAAAATAAGACCATAGGTGTAAAACCAGGTACTCCACATTGAAGGAGACAAAGGAACAAGGCATCTTTGAAAAACAGGTCTTAAGATTCTCTGGAACAACATCCACACAGCCCAATTCATCTCCAATTCGGCTGTGCTAAGCAGCCAAGTAGGTCACAATTGTACTATAATTATTCCACATTTTGGGAAGTATTCGGTGGATTCTTTTCCTTTCTCACAATTAGTTAATGAAGATGAAGCAATCATAAGCAGCTATGTTAAGTAACCACACATAGTATCTATAGCAGATGACGAATGAACCACATGGCTTTGAGGCTTGCTCTTCTAAGCTGACTACACCAGAAATCACCATGGAAGACATTGACTCTGAAATACCTTTTTGCTCTCATCACATGTGCAAGCACAGCAAATTCATGGTACTCCCTGTTTTCCCAAATATATAATTAACTGTTTATATGTAGTGGCTACATAGTCATTGATGAACTCCACAGGATCACTGATCAAAAGAATTATTACAAGCAACTATCAATATATTGGAAAAGGGATTGGAGTCCTCAGGTTTTTGTATGAGTTGAAAAAAGTCTTCCTTCTCTCTGCTGTAAGCATAAAGATGAACAAATTGAAAAGATCATTCTGCTAAAAATAATACTTTTTTTCATTCCAGCATATCTGGAATCTAAAGGCCAGATGTTCAAAACAAATACTGTAGCATTTTTTGAGCATTTATTTGTTGTTTTTTAAATAAGGCTGCCTTACAGCTCAGGCTGACAAAATAACCAGCAGTGTGTGTTTGCCTTGCAGAGTGCATGGGAACAAACCGGTGGTAGGACCATCATAAACTGCACCTTGCTTTCCTGAAGTAACTTCACTGTTTGTTTAAGATGTACAGAAGGCTTTCAGAGCAGTTGCAGCAGAGACATTCAGTACTCCAAAACTGCTAACAACATAAATTATGTAAAAGCAAAGAGATAAAGTTTCTCCTACCCTCACAGGAAGATCAAGCAGTTCTAGCACCCTTCCTTGTCTCATGGTTCGTCACTGGAGGCTGTTACTCGCAGGCTTGATACTAAGCATCTTAAAAAGCATGCCTATATACTAAGAATGGGCGCTCTACTACTTAACAAAAGCACCTATCTAGAAAAAGATCGAAGTCTGCCACAGTAAGAG